TAAAGAGAGAATATAATCAGTAGAAAATAATCTGAAAATACGTTGAAAAGATAGTGTTTAAATGAAAGTAAAAGACATTTGGAACAGAATGAAAAGCTTAATGTGGAAATAAAGTCCTGCTAGCAGAGAAGAGAAAATGGGAAGAAATAATATTTGATTATTGGCCAAAAATCTTTTAAATTATTTGAAAGTTATTAAGATACAAATTCAAAAAGCTCTATGAATCCCAAGCAGATTAATACAAAGAAAAATGTACTTGGTATATCATAGTAAGACTACTAAAAATCAAAGACACAGGAAACCTTAAAAGCGATCAGATAAAAATATACACTACTTTCAAGGGAACAAAATAAGTCTAATTGTTAATCAATTAACAGACGTGAATAATTTTGGGAAACAATATTATGACATATATGAAGTTCTAAAAAGAAAATAAGTGACAACCTAAAATTTTATACCCAAATAACAATAATTTTATAAGAAACACATCTTTCTTTCCTCCCAGAAAAGTCAAAGTCATTATGAATAATCTGTAATGGATATTGTGACATGTCCACTTGACTAGCCTGAACTACATTTCCAGAATTCCCTTTCTTGTAGGCTTCTGACTAGGGTGGATAATAGGAAGATGCCACCAACCCTCCATACCCACAGGTTTTGCATGTGTGAATTCAACCACATTGTAAATATTCTGAAAAGAATGCATTTGTACTGAATATGTACAGGCTTTTGTTATTGTCATTATCCTTTAAACAATATTGTGTAACAACTCAGCATTTACATTGTATTAGGTATTGTAAATAATATAGAGATGATTTAAAGGGTGGTATATGAGAGGATATGCATATATTATATGCAAATACTATACCAATTCACATGAGGGATTGAGCATTGCAGATTTTGCAAGGGGTCCTGGAATCAAGGGAAGGCTGTATTCACCTTGTCAAAGACCTATAAGACCACCAGAAAATTCTGTTGATCAAACAAACTTTATAGAGCCTTATCAGTGTCTTTAGAGGGGTAAGTTAGAGAAGAGTATTTATGAAGTTTAGGATTCTGGATTCATAAAGCTTAAGGCATATCTTGCAAGGTGAGGAAGTGATTGAAATTAAGTGAAGTTCATGATATAATATTTTAGGTCTGATGGGCATGTAAGACAACAGTCTAGAGAAGTGTTTATAAAGAACATATAAGTAAGTTGTTTACCCAGATAAGCAAACTGCTTGCCTGTAAAAATTGGTTTGCAAAATTTTCCTTGTGCAAACACTAACGCATTTTATTGGTCTATAATCATATCTTCATTGGAAAGAATTTCCTGGGGAATAAAAGCAGTAACATTGACATAGTGGTTTCAGTTCTTAGTCCCATCAGTTAAATTTATATTGATGCAGGTCATTTCAATTCTCAATACAATAGAATATTATATAGCAAAGGAAACAAACAATTGACTGAAATGCATTGATATAGATGAATTGTAAAACATAATGTTGAAAAGAACCAATACATGGTAATCGAAGTAAAAAAAAAATGGTTAATAGGTGTTATAGTTTAGATATGGAATATCCCCAAATAGCCTATGTGTTTAAGTCTTAGTCCCCAGTCTGTGGTGCTATCTGGAGGGGGTGGTACCTTTAAGAGGTGGAAATCAGGAAAGGCAGTTAGATTACTGGGGGTATTCAACCCGCTCACCCCTTCCCCTCTCTTTTTGTTTCCCAGCCACCATGAATTGAGCAGCTTTGACCCACCATGAGCTCCCTGTTGTGAAGTTCTGCCTCACCACCAGCCCAAAAGCAGTGGAGCCAACTCACCATGGACTGATACCTTTGAAACTGTGAGCAAATAAATCTTTCCTACTGTAACAAAAAGTTGATTAACATGCAGGACAGCATACCAGTTTATAACATATAGTTATTGAAAATAAATGCATCAATAATATTAAAGAAAATCATCCCTCACAATTGAATAATCCTACTACCTTTTTTGTCTGATTCACTTACTTTCCATTATAATGTACCTGAGCCAGTTTATCTTATTTCATCAGGCTTTCTTGGGCTAATGGAAAAGCATTTTTTGCCTGTTTGCCTGTCAGAGTTCTACTTCTTACGGAAAGAAACTGTGCAAAATAATTAGATATGACTGGAAGAGAGACAGGGCATCCCTAGTGGCTTGGAGAGAGAGGCAGAAGTTTGGCAAGTCTTATTACCATGTGAGACTGTTTTCCTCCAGAGATTTCAGTCTTTTCATTGTGAATTTTTAACAAATGCTGTCACTAATCAAGAAAAGCACTTAACTTAGCAGCTTACTTTAATTTGGCACAAAAGCTTACCATCCATTTTACCTGAACGTGGTGCCTTCACAGCTTTGCTGTGAATAAAAACACTTACTGCAAGCCTTGTATGTCATCTGTTGTATAACAACTTCCAAATGACTTGAGGAAAGCCCCATGAAGAAGAAGGGAGGAAAGAAGACAAAGAAATCATTATTATTATTATTATTATTATTATTTGAACTTGAGACTTTGTAGCTTTGTTTGAGGCATTATGTGACCCTCTTTTAGAACTTTTAAAGAACTTTCTTATAATTTATGCCACTCAGTAACTAAACTATTTGTTTTGTACCCTGAATGAATGGAGTTAGAAATAATTAGAATACATCTTCTAATTTTCCTAAAATATCTGTATTTTTTGGTGATTCTTGGAAAATGCCTTCTCAGAATAAATAGCAAGATATTCAAATAAAATTGTCCTGATCAATTGTCTTTACACTGATAATAATCCATGGATTTATTATTAATACCATTTGTATTTAAATCTCAATCATCAGAAAAGATTATTTTGTCTGTTTTGTTAGAAGCTTCATTGGATCCTAAATTTAAATTTTCAGAGGATTTTCTTATGATGAGTTAAAATATTCTACATCCCTCTCCTCAAAGTAGAAATTATTTAATAAAAAGTAATGAAAAAAAAAATGCCCTATCATGTAGGTTAACGGTTCTCAACATGCAGTTTGAGGACTAGGAGCAACAACATCACCCAAGAACTTGATAAAAATGGAAATTCTCAGGCTACAATCCAGATTGGCAGAATCAGAGGCTTGGGGAATGGGATCTTGACTTTGGTATGTGTATCTTTCATCTTCAGTGGGTTTGTTGGAGCATGCTTACCAGTTCAAGTGCTTTTATAGCTTCTTTTGGATCACATTTGCTAATATTGTATTAGCCATACAAGACTGAACCCAGAGTCAGAGTGGGAGGGCATGGGTAAGGGTATGGAGAGTGTGGACACAGGCACTGGGGAGAACTGGGATTATTTTTTTAAAATTACCACAACATGCTTGATTTTTACATTTGTCAACTAATTTATTCAAGGGAGTTAGATATCTTTGGCTCACATTAATAAATCATCTACTTTGATTCAGCTTTCTGAAAGATGGTTTTAAAAAAGGCAGCATTTATATTTTTTAAAAAATCTGCCTTTGACAAAACACTGATAATGTGTGATTTTTATTAGATATTATAAGTCAACCATTAATGCTTGCCTGGAAAAAAAAATCACCTGTGTCACCAGAGATCTCTTGGGAAGGATCCCAGACCATTATAGTCATCTCAGGGCACATTTAGGAACCACTAATTATTACAACAGCTATCTTTGATCAATTTTAATGTTTTCACATAGACAAACTTCTGCTTTATGCAATCCCATTAAATATAAAATCTTCTGTTAAGTATTATTAAATATTTATGGTTGTGCCCAAAATGAAGATTATGAAAGTAACCAGACCAGCATCACTCTTCAAAGTAATTTCTTGAAAGCATCATAAAATGGAATGAATTATTGTTTACTCAGATCATTTGCATTGTATTTGTATCCATGAAACTTACAAGTTAGGCTTTTCTCTGTTGTCTTTACCACAGTTGATGCTTTTTCCTTATATTTTCTTATGTCTCATTTATTTTTTCATCTGATCCCTTTGGATTGGTCATGCTGTAATAGCATTTTTATTTCCATATTGATATTTGGCAAGTTGTATATTAGTGAGGAAAACCCTAAGGATGAGGAGAAAATTAGGTCTGTTGATGATGCAGCACAATGCTTTGTATCCTTGCATATTGTTCTCAGCTTCTGGGCAGCTCTTCCATGGAAATTTAACTTATTTTGTCAAAAGATTGCCCAGTAATACCCGATATCAATGAACATTGAAAAAGTAAGCCTCACATCAAATGTACATTTAATTTTACTTAAAAGAACAAATTTTATATTCAAAATCCAATTGACAAAGCTTTACATAAACTCATGCCAAAAATCTGTGTACCTGTTACTCTGTTTGTTTAAATATAACCTGTAATCTGGTCTGGGGTTGTGGCTCAGAGGTAGAGTGCTTGCTTAAGCACATGTGAGGCACTGGGTTTGATCCTCAGCACCACACAAAATAAATAAATAAAATAAAGTTATTGTGTCATCTACAACTAAAACAAAATTTAACAAATGTAAGCATTAACAAGGATGAGCAAACCAGCATCCCTATCCATCTTGTTATCTTAATCATTACTGCATAATCTTGTATGTTTAAGAATCTGAAGGCCTTAACAGAAACGGCAGAGGATTAACTGTACACTTAAATTACTCTGTCCTTAAAGTAAGAGTAGACAGAGCCTAGACCTAATTCTTCTTTTCTAATTTGTAATACTCCCCATTTTCATTAAATAAACACATATTTCTTGGCGATGATCTCCTATTATTTGTAGAAAACATGAACATGAAATGGAAAGGTTATTTGAAGCTGGAAGGCTGAAGACAGGTCAACAGGAGAAAAGGGGGGGAGGGGGAAATGTCCCTTGCAAAACTCCAGCCCACAAACCCCACTGTGGCATGGTCAATCTCAGCAGGTAGAGGCATGGGCAGGTGGAGCCTAGTTATCCCTGCGCCTCAGCACTGCAGCCTCCGAGATGTAGGTGGCGCTGTAGCGTGGGCCGGGTCGAGTGCGCTCGGCTTCTCTCTCTTGCAGGGGGCCGAGCAGTCGCAAGCGCGGAGAAGGGGTGACCCCGCGGTAGGTGAGCGGTGGTGGTGGGTTTCCGGGTGGAGGGACGCTGGCTGGGAATGGGCAGGGCCGCTGCTTCTTTCCAGTGTTACTGTCAGGTGCCGCGTACTTGGTTGCGTTGGTTCAGGCAGCCCGACCCTTCCGCTCCGGGAGTACTTGAGCCCGCACGCCGTATTTCGGACATACGCGGCAGCATAGAGCCCATTTCCCAGACCCTTGCGACTTTCTCTGCGGTTTCTTTGAGTCCCAGCTCACCAGGCTCTCTCATTTAGGGGAGTGTGGTTTTATTATTTCACAAGATCCCCTTTTCTTTTGTAGCTGTGCGTATTCAATCCCCTAGTACAGAGTCTGGAACTTAATTGACTGCAGTTTCTCCTGGAGGCTTCAAATGCACCTATCTTTGAGTAGGTCCTAAGTAATTAACGGAAGTGTGGGTACTACTTTGTTCTCAGCTTCTGGGCAGCTTTTCCATGGAATTTTAACTTATTTTGTCAGAAGATTGCCCAGTAATACCGATATCAATGAACATTGAAAAAGTAAGCCTCACATCAAATGTACATTTAATTTTACTTGAAAGAACAAATTTTATATTCAAAATCCAATTGACAAAGCTTTACATAAACTCATGCCAAAAACCTGTGTACCTGTTACTCTGTTTGTTTAAATATAACCTGTAATCTGGTCTGGGGTTGTGGAAGCCAAATAGGTTTTTCAGGATATCTGCAACAAGCCCTTGTCAAAATATTTCTCCTTTTTTCAGGTACAGTAAATTCAAGAAATAGAAAGAGATTTAAAAAAAAAATTACATTGCAAAGAACATATAGGACCCATTTTTTATTATTACAAATGTTGTTTTAGTAACTCACAGATGCAAAGTCCATGTTTTCTTTCAAGTCTAAAGTGAGATGGTATGAGGTGATGAGTGGGCTGGAAGTGGGGTGACCTGGATAGTCCCACCCTCCTAGCAAAGAGGCAATCACTTTGAGTTTGGGTTTCTCTTTGTTTAAAGGAGGATGGAGGATAAGATGACAGTAGTAACTTTTTCTGGAAATCTAAAATCTATTATGCTTTAAAAAATGTTTTCATTTAATTCATATACATTTAATTCGCATCTGTTCTGTGCAATAGACAGTATTACTGCTTTCATAAAGGTGAAGTCTGGAAATCAGAAGTGAAACCTACTCAAAATCACAGTTTAGAAGTGGTAAAGTTGGAATTTGAGGCTGTGCTAAATTCCCTCAAGCCATAAAGTCCTCTGATTGTCCCAAACCTGTTTGTACTAATTGAAATTATTTTTTAAGTTGTTCTGACCCAGATATCAAGATATCGTCTTATCTCCTTTTTTTTTTTTTTTTACAATACAGTTCCTCATGTGTACTAATCATCAAGTTATTTAAGTATTAAGATACCGTGGTATATGAAACTAAAATATATTTATACTCCCAATAAAATATTTTGTCCATTTTAAAATTTCCTGATTCTTCTAAAAGAAATAAGAATAAGTGCACCTGAATAGATTGTGCAGTCAGTAGTGCCTGATTTATTATTTTGCAAGTGGTCCTGCACACAAATTAGTCACCAAATTAATTAGGAGTGGTGCAATGTCAAATTTCTATCATTCCTGCTATCCTGTGTGTGTGTGTGTGTGTTTTGTGATTCCCCCATTTAAATCTGAATTCAAAATAAACAGATTATAAAAGGGAGTATAACTAAATATTTGTTAAGGTTATATGCAAATAAGCGCTACTAACTTGTGTGTGTGTTGGGGGGAAGTTGGAGAAAGTGATGGGAAGACTTAGAAAGTTCTGATGGAAGTGTGCCTGATGTTAACTGGTTTTGTCTTAGGTATAGTTCACTTGAGTGGTAATGTCAGTTCTTGCTGTGCTTTTAACTTACAATTATTTTATTTTATTTTTTTGGTACCAGAGAATGAACCCAGGGCACTTAACCCACTGAACCATATCCCCAGCCCTTTTTATGTTTTTTTTTTTTTTAATTTTGAGACAGGATCTTCCTAAGTTTCTTAGGGCTTGCTAAGTTGCTGAGGCTGGCTTTGAAATCTCTATCCTCCTGCGTCAGCCTCCTAAGCTGCTGGGATTACAGGTGTGTGTCACTGCACCTGGCCTTAGCTAACAATTTGTGCAACTTTTTGAAGTGGAACTTAACATTAGTTCTGCACTTGAAAATAGCAAGTCTGCTTTTACTTCAAGATTAAAAGTTTGCTTGTTGATATAGAATTTTGTTTTCCCCCCAAATCCTGGTGATTTATACATCTGTGAAGAGTCAACTGAGATTTTTCATGCTGCACACTTGTTTATTCAACCAGTACATCTCAAATTCCCACATATACACAGTTCTGTGGGCCAGGCACATGCAGAAATACAGAAGAACCTTCTCTTATGGGAAAATATTTTTTTCTTTTAATTTTTTATAACTACATATAACAAATTCTTTATGATATTCTTTATGACCTCAGTAATCTGAGTGTTAAGAATTCTGTAGTAGGAGCTGGGGCTGTAGCTCAGCGGTAGAGCAGTCGTCTCATGTGTGAAGCCCTGGGTTCAATCCTCAGCATCACAAAAATAAAACAGGTATTGTGTCCACCTATAACTAAAAAATATTTTTTAAAAAAGAATTCTGTATTAGATGTATAAATAAGTTCAGGACATTTTAAAAATAATCTAATGTATTTTTATACATATAACTATGTATTTGATGTGTAAATAAGTTTAGAAAACTTTGGGAGAACAATTGTAACATCTTCAGTTTCTGGCTCATAACAGGAGAAAGGACCATAAAACTGAGATGTCTTACTTCTTACTAAAGAATGCTAAAAATGAAAAATGTTACTTTCATAAACTCCAGAAAATATCAAAAACAATGGAAATTGTAGCATATTAAATTTTTTAAAATATACATGTGGGTTTCCAGTCCAGGTGTTTTTTTTTTTTTTTTTTTTTTTTTGTGTGTGTGTGTGTGTTGGTTGCTGGGAATCAAACCTAGCCTCTCACTCCTGCTAGGTAAGTGCTCTACCACTGAGCTATCCTCCAGCCCCAGTCCACATATTCTTTGTTATTTCTAGTGAAGAATTTAGTTTAACATAAATGATGTATTATTAATAAGAATTTGGATATGGATGTTGCAATATAAGTGCTACCTTGATTGCTTATTTCCTTGATTCTTTATGAAGGAAAACTAGGTTCTTCTAAGGGAAAAAGAAGATCAAGGAATCTTGTAACTGAAATTTAGCCATTACAATTCAAGTTAGAACCCCAGATAGTTTTTTAATAGACACATCTCATATTGGTTGAATTTCATGATATTAAACATTACTGCATCCCTTTAATTTTAAAATACAGGTTGAGCATCCCTAATCTGAAAGTCTGAAATACTCCAAAATTCAAAACTTTTTGAGTGCCAACATGATGCCTCAAGTGGGAAATTCCACACTTAATCTCATATGACAGCTTGCAGTCAAGACACAGGTATACAACACAGCTTATTCAGCTTCCCCAAGGAAAATAAGACCCTCCTTGTCTTCAGCTGCAATATATCTTTTCTCCACACACCCAGATTCTCTCACAGAAGCACACCCTCAGAGGGTTATAAAATGACGTGTGCAGGCCCATTGTGCCAACAGCAGATTCCCCAGCATGTTCCACATGGGGCCAAGACGTAGATGCGTTGTTAGCAGTAGTTTTTTGCATATTATTTGCTCTACAGTGTAAAAATATTATTGAAAATGTCAAAAAGGCCTGCAGATGTCCCTGTGAGTAACAATGATAAGAAAAAGAGGAAGCATTTATGTTTATCTATAGCACAGAAAGTCAAGCTATTGGAAAAACTGGACAGTGGTATTAGTGTGAAACAACTTACAGAAGAGTATGGTGTTGGAATGACCACCATATATGACCTGAAGAAACAGAAGGATAAACTGCTGAAGTTCTATGCTGAAAGTGATGAACCAAAGTTAATGAAAAATAGAAAAACATTGCATAAAGCTAAGAATGAAGATCTTGATCGGGTGTTGAAAGAGTGGATCCGTCAGCGTCGCAATGAACACATGCCACTGAATGGTATGCTGATCATGAAACAAGCAAAGATCTATCATAATGAATTGAAAATTCAAGGAAACTGTGAATATTCAACAGGCTGGTTGCAGAAATTTAAGAAAAGACATGGTATTACATTTTTAAAGATTTGTGGTGATAAAACAGCTGCTAATAACAAAGCAACAGAGAAATTTATTGAAAAAGTGGATATCAAAAAAGTTTTTCATATCAATAATCAAGCTCCAGTTGTTCATTCATTGACCAATGGTGAAGTACCTGAAATGGTTCTGCATCAAGGTGAATGTGATAATAGTGATGACAAAGGGGATGTGAACACTGCAGAGAAAGTGCCTGTGGAAAACATGGTCAGACTGTGTGATGGGCTTATTAAAGGTCTAGAGCAGCGTTCATTCATAACAGAACAAGAAATCATGTCAGTTTATAAAATCAAAGAGAGACTTCTTAGACAAAAACTGCTGCTAATGAGGCAGACAACCCTGGAGAAAACTTTTAAAAAAGCCACCCAGCACAATGCCTCCTCATCCCTAGAGGAGCCACTGCCTGGTCCCTCAACAGCTTCTGATGATTCTTCTCACCTAAATAAATAAAATAGTGTACAACAGCCTTTTAATCAAACAATGTTGCAGGTGGGAACTGAAAGCTGCTATTGTTTAACAGCTGGTACCACTGTGCTGCTTAGTTACCTTGAACATATTACTTCTTCACTATATTAATTGTATGTACTGTTTTTTCCTGTTAAGCACTTATGTGTGAATGAATATATTAAAATGATTGCTCTCTAGTAGCACGTGAATTCAGAGTGGAATGATGGTGATGCCAAATAGCCACAAATTGTCCACATGGGTAATTGAGATAGTGGCACCTTTACTTTCTTATGGGTCAGTGGACACAGACTTTTTCATGTATAAAATTATTTAAAGTATTATGTGAAATTACCTTCAGTCTGTGATAAGGTACATATGAAGTATTAAATGAGTTTTGTGGTTAGACTTGAGTTTTATCCCCTCTCTCATTAAGTATACAAACATTCCAAAATTTAGAAAAATTCAGAGACACATCTGGTCCCAAGCATTTCAGATAAGGGATATTCAACTTGTGAAATTTTTGTTGGCTGTAACCAGTGTGTGTGTGTGTGTGTGTGTGTGTGTGTGTGTGTGTGTATGTGTGTGTATTTTCCCCTCTGAATTCCTGACACATTGTCATTGCCATCCACACAGTGTTCACGATAAACTATGCTCTGAGGACTCTTCTGTGCTCTATAATAATGTGCTCTCCATACCTACTCCCTTATTACCTTGTTTTTCTTCCCCATGAACAACTGTAATTCATTTTTATAGGATATCTTTGTTTTAATGACATGGAGCTGTTTCATCCCTTTGTGTCAGTTGCTGATTAGAAAGCCTTGCCTTTGTAAATTTGCCTTTTTAGACCATCCTAGTATTTAAAATTTTTTTTAGTTGTAGGTGGACACAATATATTTTCATGTGATGCTGAGGATCAAACCCAGGGCCTCACACATGTTAGGCAAGCACTCTGCCACTGAGTCACAACTGCATTCCCTCTCCTCGTATTTTTATCTAATGCCCTAGTAGTAGTAAACTGAGCCTGTTGATTCTATCCTAACAGTACGGCCATATGTCAATCATTTCCTGCCTAATATTTCTTATAGATATATCTTGTTGGTGAACTGAAATGCTGTTTACACTTCACTAATTTCTTCCTTTTGAATTTTCTCTTTCCCCAATATTCCTATTCAAGTGTACTTTTTAATACAAGGAGAAACATCATCGATATCTGGCTTCAGCACTTGGTGGCCAGTATTTGTTACTTAAATTCTAAACACATTTGTCACATCTTCCATCCTATCATCATGATAGGAAGGTTCAAAGGGGTCAAATGAAACACTTCATGAGTTTTCATTAGAAGAGAAGAGTGATGATAGTGGAAACAGTAGATTGCTGTCACAAAATAGGAGAAATAGCAAAGATATTTAGCATCATTCCCCCTACATTGTCCATTATTTTTAAAGATTGAGCCAAGATTGAAGAGAAAGTTTAAAAATATTTTAAGACTAAAGCAGAGTTGAATGTGGGTCCTTTTTGGGTAGTAACCAAGAAGTTCATGCAGGAAATGAGCATTTAATTGTATTATTTCTGCAACATAATGTCTCAGGTTTTTACTAACTTGGCCATAGTACGTTTCAGCTGACTGAACAAATTTTAGGCGCTTTATGGAATTGCTTCAGAAGTTGTCTGTAGTGAAGAAAACAGTGTTCCAGAAAATTATTAATTTGTGTGTAGGAGAAATTTTAAAAACAAAGACCAAACAATTGCTGGTTACAGCTTGAATGGTGTTTTAAACGCTGATGAAACAGGTATACTCTACCAGTTTGTGACTTTCTTTTGTGCTTCATGATAGAGACGATCTTTTAAAAGGAAGTTAACAGATTGGTAGTCGCTATATTCTGCTATAGAGTATTTTGGACCACCCATCATTGGCAAGCCAGCTAACCCCCATTGCTTCAGAATTGTTCATTTGTTCTCCTGTAATTAACAAGCCAACACACATGCCCAAATAATAACATTTTTTTAGGGAATGGCTGAGTAGGGAATAGCTGAGTTAAGTTGACAAGAGAATGAAAGGAACAAAATGCGGTATCCTCTTGCTGGTTAACAAATCACTTTGCCTACAACATATTTCCATGCTTGGATTGAATTTAAGTTGAGTTTTTCCCATTGAATTGCACAGCCATTCTTCAGCCTTCAAATCCGGGATTATTCACACAGCAAAAGCTTGCTACTGGAGCCAGTTGCAGGAATAACTAAATTTAGACAAGAAAGAAAAAGGCTGAGAACATCAACATGAAGCAAACCATTGACGTGGTTGTTGAGACCCAGTGGTCTGTAAAATCGTGTACAATAGTAATATGTTGGCAACTAACAGGCATAATTCCTGTGGAAACCTCTGAGGTACACCTGGAAAAAGATACCAACTCAACATGGTATTTGAACCAATCCTAGTTCTAAATTGCTACTGATTCTGGTATCCCCAAACAGCTATATTTTGAAGACTTCATGGCTACAAATAGCAATTTATTTCCCAAGTGTTTGCAGTACATGAAATTGCTACAGGGATTCTCACTTATTTAAAAATGGAACCAGAAAGCCATGATGGTGAGAAGATGATGACATCAGCAATGATAACTATAACATGTATGGGGACCAAGAGATAGAACAGCCAACAATGATCTAAAGCCTTTGCAAATATAGAAAGTGAAGAATCCCTTCCCTTCAGGCAGATGTTTCTATGAGGTATTTACCCTATTAAGTGGTATAGATTAATGTTTCAGGAGCATTGCAGCATAAAGTGTTTTGAAAAGCTAAGCACCTGATTTCCTCCAAGACTGTTAAGTTGCAAAAAATGTTGCTTTTAAAGTGTATAAAATAGAAGACTTAATAAAGAATATTTGTACAAAGCAACAATTAATGTTTAAATGTGAATTTTATTTTTATTTTTTATTTTAGGTACCAGGGATTGAACTCAGGGGCACTCAACCACTGAGCCACATCCCCAACCCTATTTTTTGTATTTTATTTAGATACAGGCTCTCACTGAGTTACTTAGCGTTTTGCCTTTGTAGAGGCTGGCTTTGAACTCAGGATCCTCCTATCTCAGCCTCCCGAGCCGGTATGAGCCACTGTGCCCGGCTTAAATGTGAATGTCTGACTCTTATTGACTTTTATTGTCATTAATTTCAGTTTGGGGAAGGTTTATTTTTTTGTTTTTTTTTTTTTTAACCTCCTCCCTTTCAAACCCCCACTCCCACCACCACCACTATCCCAGTATTAAATGGCAGGAATGATACCTGGAAGAGAGAAACATTCTTAAATTGTTGACTATTCCAGCTAGGACAAAAGACACACTTCAATTTAATAGGATAAATGTAGAATAGCCAAGAGATGAAGGGATATTTAGATTAAGGACATAGCAGAGAATGTCCTTCCAGGGAGTTGCTAAGAGGACTTAGCAACAGAGGACAGAGGGGGAGTGAATAGAAACAGCTGCTTCCTCTTCTGCTTGGGTGGGCCAGTGGAAAAAGGCAGAGGATGAGGGGAAAGTAGGCCAGGGGTAAAGCTGTAGGAGATATTAAGCAAAGGAATGTTATAGTATTTCCCTCAGATTGCTGTGGAAGGGTTAAGGTGAGAAAAAATGAAAAGAAGAGTAAATAAAGGAATGGATTACCCACTGGCCTCTCTTTCCCTTAGCCCTGACTTCTTCTTTTTCTTCTTCTTTTTTTAATTAGTTATAGATGGACACAATGCCTTTATTTTATATGTGGTGCAGAGAATCGAACCCAGTACCTGACACATGGTAGGCAAGTGCTCTACCACTGAGCCCCAGCCCCAGCCCTGACTTCTTATAACAGGTCTGAGTCAGACCAACAAACCATTCTCCAGACTTCTGCCCACTTTACTGGGGTTTAAGAGATGAAAAAATAATAGTAATAACCATTTTAGCAAACCAAACTTAAAGTGCTACTTACAATCACTTTTGATGCATACCTAGAATTCAGAAAAAAGAATGAGTAGGGCTGGGGCTGTAGCTCAGTGGCAGAGTGTTTGCCTAGCATGTGTGAGGCACTGGGTTTGATCCTCAGCACTGCATAAAAAAATAAATAAAGGCATGCTGTCCATCTACAAAAAAATTTTAAATGAATATAAGAATGATCTTTTAAATTTGTTCTAATTAGCCATACCTGACAGTAGAATGCATTTTTGACATATCACACACAAATGGAGTATAACTTCTCATTCTTCTTGTTGTACATGATGTAGAGTTATACAGATCATATAATATATGCACACAGGGTAATGTACAATTCATTCTGCTCCTACCGCCATGCCCCTTTCCCTCCCTTCACTCGCCTTTGTCTAGTCCAAATTACCTCTATTTTTCCCCGGCCTTTATTATGAATTAGCATCCACATATTAGAGAAAACATTTATCCTTTGGTTCTTTGGGCTTATTTTGCTTAGCATAATATTCTCCAGTTCCATCCATTTATCAGTAAATGCCATAATTTCATTATTCTTTAAGGCTGAGTAATATTGCATTGTGTATATATAACACAATTTCTTGATCCATTCATCTATTGAAGGGCACATCAGTTGGTTCCATAGTTTAGCTATTGTGAATTGAGCTGCTATAAACATTGATGTGGCTGTGTCACTATAATATACTGATTTTAAGTCCTTTGGGTATATGCTCAGGAGTGGGATAACTGGATCAAGTGGAGGTTCCATTCCAAGTTTTCTGAGGAATCCCCATACTACTTTCCATAGTGGTTGCCCCAATTTGCAGTTCACTGGCAATGTATGAGTGTACCTTTTTCTCCACATCCTTGCCAACATTTATTGTTGCTTGTATAAGAAATATTTTTTAAAAGAGGTTTATCAAAGAAACAAGTATGAAGGAATAATGTATTACTTTATTTTTAGGTAATAAATCGCATTACTCAAGATGTCTTCAGCTCCTGAGCCACCAACACTTAAAAAGGAATCACCCAAAGAGAAAGACTTTCCAAATCCAGGGCTCAGAGGGGTACGCACGACGACCTTATTTCGAGCTGTGAATCCAGAGCTCTTCATTAAGCCTGTAAGATAATACATAATCCAGGATAAGACTTTATGTTTAATTAGGCTATCTTAAATGGAAAGTTCTTTTTCTGTAGCATTTGATTTTATCATGGAAATTTTCTATCAGTTAGTAAGTCCTCTCTATGAATAAAAGCAAGTGAAAAAAAATTTTAAATCCTGTTTCATGTATAAATACACAGATAAAATGAAGTATTTTGAGGGCATTTGAAAATTTTAATGGAAAATTATTATTTTAATGGATCAGCTTCTCAAGATAACATACTAGTTTAATTATTGCACTATTTTGAAGGTAATTCTTTTTTAAAAAAAAATATTTATTTATTTTTTTTCAAAGTTGTAGTAGGACACAATATCTTTATTTATTTATTTTTATGTGGTGTTGGAGTTTGAACCCAGGGCCTCGCCTGTGCTAGGCGAGCGCTCTACCACTGAGCCACAACCCCAGCCTGAAGGTAATTCTTATAGTTTGATCATGTACTATTTGGTAAATAAGACCTTCATTTGAAACAGTCAAAAATGGAAACTGATTGTTCTTACTGCATTTCCAGCTTTTATTAATCATTATTTAAGCAATATTACATTTTGTGAAAAAAATCCAAACCATACATTTGCATGCTGTTATGGAGATAGAAAATCTTTTATATTCTTCTGTAAATTAATGAATATATTTGATTGATGAATTTTATTTTTAAATAAATGTAAATTCTATTTTATAAGTAAATGAAATCAAATTATATTAAATCTGATTAGAATTTTAATAGCAGTTGCCAATGTAAGCTGTTTTAAAGCTAAATAGGTCAATTAAATTAAGAAAGATTATTTTAAAGACCAAACTAATGTGTTTTTTAAATTGCCAATAGAATTTCAAGAATTGCAAATTTAAACTGCTCTGAGCTTGCAGCTTTTTAAAAGATATTCATTCAAGTCAAAAACTTTAACTCTTATTCTTTAGCAATTATGATTTGAAGTAGTGCAATAGTCACCCCTTACCCCTTATCTGAGTTTTTGCTTTTCAGAGTTTCAGTTATATACTGTCAGCCATGGGCCCAAAATATTAATAGACAAAACATTACTCTGGAAACTCCTGTATTTAAAAGTTTTATTTTATTCAAGGCTACATTGCTTTGCTTCTATGGTCTTAGGTCTTCCACTAGTACATTAAAGTTATTATAACAGCATGATATCTGTTCCAGTCACTAAATTTAGGCTCTCAGAAAAGTGTGCACATTATTATTACTTCTATGCCTAAAATAGGTTATAAAAGGCTTTTTGACAATTATACATGTCTTGGGCAAGAAAAACACCTTGTGTTCTTCATTCCTCACTTTCTAATTAAATAAGCTACTATGAGATTTGCAAGTGGAAAGACTTGGACAAGATAAATTAAGCAACTTCTTTGCATCACATAGATACCACTGAAGACTTTGTACCAGACCAATGTCCATGCCTCACTCCTCTCTCACGTGTCAACTTCCTGAAGGTGGAGATCTAAGATGTCCAGGCTGTAGAGAGGAGAAGCAGGAATCTTCTATAATCTGTAAACAAGAGTCAAGCTAATTGAATAAATAATTGAGTAAATGATAATTGAAATATTGCCATAGGAATGCTAGCCTGGTAACAAAGACTTGGTGTGTCAAGAGGAGAGTGCAACAGATAGCTGAATCTCCTCAAATTATTGTCCTAATGAGACTTTATATTTTTTTTTTCTTTGACAGAACAAACCTGTAATGGCTTTTGGATTGGTCACCCTTTCACTTTGTGTGGCTTATATTGGTTATCTACATGCAACACAAGAGAATAAAAAGGACCTCTATGAAGCAATTGATAGTGAAGGGCACAGTTATATGAGGAGAAAAACTTCTAAATGGGATTAAAGGGCTGGTTACTGCAGTGGAACTTTATTAAAGGCTCTGAAATCTTCAAATGAAAACTTTGCAAGTGTACAGAATCATATTTCTTATTCTAGAATATGTTAATGAGAAGAAAAGGTAGCAGTTGTAGCCAAATGACTGCAGTAAATTTTATCCCCATACAGCTGCAGCCACTGTCTTATTTTCTTTCCACAGAAAGAGCATCTGAGTATTTCTCTTTTATTAAATCCTCTTTTTAAAAAAAGACTTGAGGATAGAGTCATTTTTGTTAATTATTGAGCTCTGTGTGATAAAAGTACTCAGTGCTGTTAAATGTGCATGGACGTTTTAATGTTTTAAGGTGAGTCGTGCTTTGTAGCTATTATGAGAGCTTTGTTTTGTTCTGTTGCATGCAAAGAAAATGTGCGTGTTCTACATGGCATAGAAGCTGTATTTGTAAGGAAGAGAAATCATAACTTTAAATCCTGAAGTCAACATTAAGGTATGAGAAATGAAAACTGAGTTTGACTCTGACAAATAGTTCTCACAGTCACAGATGCCTCCTGTATTTTGGTTTCATTTTCAACTGTTTTTGGTTCAGAATTGTATTTAAATTAAAAAGATATCCCCCTCAGTTACTAAAATAATGATTGAGAGAATAATACCAAGTAATTGAAATTTTTCTTTTTAAAAAAAGGTTATGAGGTATTTATTTGACTATAACTAGATGCTACTTGTTTAGTTTCTATGATGTTATAAGCACAAGACCAAGTATTCTTCTAGTTATTTAAAACTAGAACTACTCAATAGATGAGAAATAGACAAGGTTTTCTTACTATACTAGGCTTCCTTATATAATTTTAATCTTCCTAATAAGGTTCTGGACCTGTTTCATTGTTAGATATTTGCCTCTTTCTTCAAATTACTGTAGTTGGGGCTCAGCAGTAAATTTCATCCCTGAAGTTTTGTTTCTTTTGTTATTACCAAGTAATAATAATAGTACAGGCAGTTTGTCTTCATCACATTGGTTTTAATTTCTAGCACTTCAGGTTTTGCAAGATATGTAAAGATGCAGTTATGTCTGAATTTGTAGGTGTTAAAGAACATAGCCATTTGTGTTTATCTACATGGATCTAATTAAATCTTTATCACTAAGCCCTAAATATTTCTTTGCTATACCTCTCCATATAGTATACTTTGTATCATTTAAAATGCACTTATATGGTACAAATGCCTTTTAATTTAAATACCTTTTGCTTTTTATTTTCTGTGTATTTTGATTGTCATAGAACTAGGATTCTTCTGTTTTTAGCTTATGTACTTATTGTCATGTTGCCATCTTTTAGAAGTCTTATGATTCAAGAAAATAAGTTCACATTCAGTATAAGGGGAGATATTACTTGGATGAACAATTATCGCAGTCCAGAAGGGCCACAAAACTATATATTATGCAGCCTTAAGCCATGTCTGTGTGAAGGAAACAGGGTAGCAACAGATACAGTCAAGCACAAAGCTGTGAAAATTATTGTGAGGGAAGAATCACACTGAGTTTTAGGAATGAATACCTAATTATAAGACTTCCTACAGGCTGGTTACAGGTTATATCATTCTTTGTGTGAGCAGAGTGTCAAAGGCAATGTATTGATGTTTTCATTCATTTTCAGTTGAATGGGCATAACAACCCCAAATAAAGTACCCTTTGAAATAGTCATAGGATTTTGAACATTGGACTTCACCTAGTCCAGTTCTGTCAATTTACAGTTAAGATAGCCAGCTGAGTGTTCACTTTGGCAGCACATATATTAAAATTGGAATGATACAGAGATTAGCATGGCCCCTGCCCAAGGATGATGCTCAAATCTGTGAAGCATTCCATATTTTTATGATTAAAATTATGTTTTACTCCTTAAAAAAAAAAAAAAGATAACCAGCTAAGAATATTTAAAAGATTTACCCAGTATCCCCAGTAATTCTCAGGACAGGAACCTGGATGTCCTTGCTCCAAAAGTCTAGGGAATCTTTTCACCATATTAAACTCCTCTTATGTATAAATATCCATGTAATAATTAAGTAGTTATATTAGCCCTTAAACATAAGATATTTGAGTCTTAAATACAAAAAAATCCCAATATTTTAGAACAAAAATATGAAAAAGATTATTAATTGCCAACTCCCCCACAAGACTATCAGAACAAATTGTTGATCAAACAAAACTAAGTTTATTAAACCTACTGCACTAAGAAGCCTCTTTATCATAAAGTCAGTTGTGTTTAAGAATGGGATATGAGATGGTCAGAGGAAGATATTTACAGTGCTTTGGAATCTGAGTTCAAAGGGATATATATATCTAGATGAGAAATAGACAAATATATATATCAAGTCACATCCTTAGCCCTATTTTGTATTTTATTTAGAGACAGGGTCTCACTGAGTTGCTTAGCACCTCACCATTGCTGAGGCTGGCTTTGAACCCCTGATCCTCCTGTCTCAGCCTCCCCAGCCACTGGGATTACAGGCATGTGCCATAGAGCCTGGCCCAGTCTTAATTTTATATAATTTACATATATATGTATGTATATGTGTGTATATACATATATGTATATATGTGTGTATATAAACATATTTATGTGTGTGTATGTATGTATATATATGTGTGTGTGTGTGTGTATATATATATATATATATATATATATATTTATATTTTTTTTTTTTTTAAGGCCAGAAGCTGAACTGAAAGCAAAGGCAGAGCAGAAGATATGAATGCAAAGAGTTACTATAGGTAGATAAGAAAATGAACCAGCCAAATAACTTGTTCAGGGCACATACATGTCAATGCACAGGAACTTATTCTATGTCAAGATCTTGATGAAGGCAGTTTCACAGTGTCAGTTTGAGATGTAAGCTTGGAGTATTCATGGTCCACACAGGCAGGAGAAACCACACTCTGCTAAAGCCAGAGCACAGAGCTTTGGACATTCTTCACTCTGGTGATTTTCCTGAGCAAAGCTCATGATGAGTGAGTAACAGGATCAGGGTGCCATCATGTTCAGTTTTGCCGGGGGCTCCTGTTTTTATGGGTCTCAAGTGAGGTTTCATCGTTCAGTGGTCTGCTGTGTTTGATAAGCTCATGGGCCTGTTTTTTTCTATATGAGCTCAATATGCCTATGCATCTGTGTACTTCTGATAAATTTTAAAAATTCACAGGTAGGGGCTGGGGATGTGGCTCAAGCGGTAGCGCGCTTGCCTGGCATGCGTGCGGCCCGGGTTCAATCCTCAGCACCACATACAGACAAAGATGTTGTGTCCACCAAATACTAAAAAAATAAATATTAAAAAAAAAAATTCTCTCTCTCTCTCTCCCTCTTTCTTTAAAAAAAAAAAAAAATTCACAGGTAGTCATTTTTATTGGCCCAATTAACATATCAGTTTGTGTCTTATGGTTGTGCTGGGCAGATGGTGGTTGCTTACTTACACAAACAAGGTGTAAAGTCATTCCACCTTAGCACTGAAATTCAAAATGGAAAGGTTTATAGCAAACTACTGCTTTATAAAATGTTGGAATAACTTTCAGTTTGCAGCTAGCAGCTATGAGCCGCTCAGAGTGCTAGGAAAACCTACGCTCATACAGGCCTGACAGGAATACTTGCAGGGGCACTCTGCTCTAGTGAGCCATCAGTAACCACATTCTCAGTGCTTGAAGTTAGCATTGCCAAGCTACAAGGCCAGGAAACTGAGAGTTAGGTGCTTCAGGGCATGAAACCCCTAACTCATAAGGTCCCCTCCCCTAGGGAAAATGATCCTTTCAATCTGCCTTCCACTGCATAGCAATATTTAGAGCTTCCTCATAGTGCAGCTACATTAATCATAAGATGATTGGTTTCTAGATGTTATATAACCTGCTTTCTTATGTATGATTGGAAGATGCATTCTATATCAATTGTAATCACTTCCGCATTAAACGAGCTGGTTGGACTCAATTACGATTGTCACCTGCCAGCTCTCACTAAACTCTCAGTGTCTGTGTGTTGACTCCATGCCTCTACTCCCCAGGACTGAGGTAGCCGAGTGACCAATTGATCACAGCAGTGACCAGAACACATACAATAAAATGGAGGAACACAGTCTTAAGCACAGCTTGAAAACTGCTATTCTATACATCATGGAGAACTCAGAGCAGAGCAGAGCCTTTTCTCCACAGTAACTTTTGTGACAAACCTTAGTCCGGGGTAAATCATTTAGTTCTCACCAGGGTCCTATGGGAGTTCTATTGTTGAAATTAATTTCATTGATGGCATCAATTCAAGATCAGTCCTGCCTGGTAGATGCTGTGTACTACTTTGTTGGACAACTTTTAAAAATTTAGTCACTTAGTATAATCAGGTTGCACAGATGTTTGTAATAGTCAGAATTTCTAAAAATGTTTTTCTAAAATTATAGGTACAAATTAATTAGCTAGGTTATTTTAAAAACCAGGCTTAGTCATTTTGAATACTGACTTATGGACTAATTTTTCCTTTAAGATACTGTGATATTTATGTTTTATTGCCAGGTCACCAAAGCATCACATTTATAAATAACCTGAAAAAAATAAGAAACTACCTTGGTCTTGAAAGAAATTCATTCTTTTTTGTTTGTTTGTTTTGGGGAGCTGGATACTGGAGATTGAACCCAAAGACTCTTTACCACCAAGTCACATCCCCACCCTTTTTAAATTTTTTAAATTTAAGACAGAGTCTTGCTAAATTGCTGACACTGGCTTTCAACTTGACAATTTTCCTGCCTCAGCTTCCTGGGCCACTGGGATTACAGACGTATGCCACTACAACCGGCTAAAAATTCATTCTTTAAAAAAAAAATTTTAAACAAAATGTGGTCAGCTGAATAATGTTCTCCTCCTTTGCAGTGATGTCCAGATTCTAATCTCTGATGCCTTTTGTGAATATGTTACTATATATAGGGACTTTGCAGATGTGATCAAGCTTTGAATTTTGAGATACGGAAATCATCCTAGATTACCTCAATGGGACTATTATAATCTTCAAGGTCCTTAGAGGGAAGCAGAAGATCAGAGGAGGAATCAATATCACCAGGGAAGTTGGAGGAAAAAGGCAATATGATCCAAAGCCATGGACCCAAGGAATGTGGATGGCTTTCAGAAGCTAGAAAACCCAAGGAAAGAGATTCTCCCCTAATGCCTCCAGAAGGAACCAGAAATGTCCCTAAAAGACTCATTTTGGATTCTGACCTCCAGAATTCAAGAGAATAAATTTATGTTGTATTTAGCCATAAAGATTGTGTTAATTTAGTCCAGCAGCAACAGGAAACTAATACAGAAACTATCTAGAAAATCAGTGGCTGCATTATGTTCCCTTTTGTCATTATTTCAAGTTGCTTTTATGAGCAAAGCTTGTCTTACCTGGCAACAGTTGCTAAGTGTGTTAACAACTTATGCTAAAGGCTGGAAGGGAGCAACTACTTAAATCCTCCCAAATCCAGTGCCCATACTTTGTATGGCAGAGGCTTTTAGTACCATTCTTTAAATTAGGCACATAACTACATAATCATGGTAAATCATTTAGTCCTCACCAGCCTCTAGCTTTATCCTAAAACCCTGAGTGTCTTGCAGCTTTCTTAAAATTCTAGCTTCTCTTAAAAATAATTTTCCTGATCCTAATATTATTTTAACTGGAAATAATAGAAGACATCTGAAATTTTAACTATGATCAGAAATACAGATTATACAAACTTTGTTTGCTGTGCTTTTTGTAATAAAATAATTCCACCAGCTCCTTTTGGAGAAACCTTCAAACGAATCCATGATTACAAGCCGTTCAAGACACGCTTTTACACTCATAAAGATATACTGGGTAAGTGACTATTAGTTTTCCTTTGTTCTAAGCGTCATATATTATTCTGTTATGTAGGCTTTTATCAGCTTTTCCCTGTTCAAAGTTGCTTGTCTACCATGAAAGAATATGTGTTGGAATTTAGCAACTCCACTTACCAATTGTACTCATTAGGTAAGGTATTTAGCCTCTCAGTCTGTTTCCAAGGTCACAACTCAGCATATATATTTTTTCTTACCTTTTAATTACTTTTTATTTTGAAATAGTTTGACTCAAAGTTGCAAAAATAGGTAGAGCATTTTGATGACATTTTGATCCAGCTTCTTCCATTGGTATTTTACACAATCCTGGTACTTTGTCAAAACTAGGAAATTATCATTGGAAAAAATGATATTAATATTAACTCAGAGACTTTATATGTACTTTTTTCCATAGTGTGTATTTTTATGACATTGATTGCATGTGTATATTCATGTAACAAACTCTTTCATTTCCCCTAACTCAAACTTTGGAAACCATTAATCTGTTCTCTGTCACCACCACAGTTTTATCACTGTGAGGGTACTGTCATATAATTTTGTCATGATTGAGTTTGCTACCAAACAATCCCACAGTATATAACCTTTTGAAATTGACTTTTTTCACTCAACATAATGACTTTTAGATTCAAACAAGTTGTTTGTATGCAGTTCCTCAGCATATGCATTATTAAAAAGCTCTGCAGGTAACCTATTATATGATGGGAATTGAGAATAACAAATATAAAGTAAGGAAATTTAAGCATTAAAAAAGGTAATAGCAACCTACATTTGTATCGCATTTTTATGAAATTCCACACTTTAGTGGTCGACACTTAGTCACTTTTCTTCCTAGGTCTTTCATAACTGTAGCTACACAGTGTTGAGATTTTTCATAGTGTGTCCATCTCTACCATAGTATTTGCCCTATGTTTTAAAACTCACTGATGATCTAGTGGCGAAGACTATATTTCCACACATGCATTTTCAGTTGCCGGTGGCAGAAACACAGCTTAGATTATACTGAATAAAATGAAATTCTTGACCCTTTGATAGAGAAACTTGACTTTAGGCTTTCAATCTGCCATGCTTACTTTCTTAGTGAGTTGGCTTAATTGTTTACTACTGCAGCCAGGCTTATGCACCTGGGAAAGGAGGGGTGTAGACTTAAATAGCTCTAAGTATCTGTTATCTCCATCTTAGAAATCTCAGAGGGAAAAGAGATATGTTCTCCTTAAATCCTTATATGAAGTCCTAGAGAAGAGCATAGATAGCCAGGCTTCAGCACATGCTCAATCCTGGGCTAATTTTTTCTGACCTAGAGAGGGGTGGAAGAAAGACCAGAAGTTTGGATCTCAATTGGCAGTCTTACTGGAATGATCTCAAGTGAGGGAGGGAATTTCTTGAGAGAAGTGGGTCCTATTACCAGAAGGAGAGAAGAGGTGCTAAGCAGATAAACACGCATGTCCACTTGTATTGCCAAGCTAGGCACCATAAGAGATACAATGCACTATAAAGTGTGTTTTGTAATTTTAGGAGGCTGATCATCAAAACATAATCACATGAAAAGTTAGTAATTCAACTTATCTAAGATGTGAGAATGAATGGAATGAAGAGTAAGTACTATAAGAATTTAGAAAGAAAAATCACTGTATACAATTTCAGCACCCAAAGGTTATTACTCCTGTAACAGCTTGTGGGCCACCTCTGACAATCACTCAGTTGTGAGAAAGTGGGCAAACCCTGTGACCAGCTTGAAGGACTCATGCTCCAGGTCCAGCTCTGTTCTTACCTATCTGATATTACATGTTCTCTAACCCCTAGACTTATGATCTTTTCTGGGTAGAAAGGGTATTATTTTGGGGTTTTTATTATTTGGAAATAAAGTTAGATCATTGACAAAGAAATAATAAACCACTCCTTAGCTCACTCTATATCTGAAATAGGTAAACCCACACTGAAGAAAGGCATGTATATAATGTAAGGAAGACATTCAGCTTCTACTCTCCTGATGGAAATAGCACCAGTACCCAGATAGGATCAAGGAGAGAGGAGTTGAAAATGTACTAATATACTAATATATCTTGGATATTCATTCACCATTCTACTTTGTAAAAATATGCCTTTTCAATAGGCATTTATTTCACTTTGCTTCCCTAGTTGCCTACTGTGTGGTCTGGGCATGATGAGGGGAATGACTGTCTACTTAGGCCTAATAGTGCTGAGTTCTCTCCTGATCAGTTAGGGAAAAACTTACCCCCTCAATAGGAATCTTTAAAGAAAATAATGTTGGCAGCGACATCAATGTTTATAGCAGCACAATTCACAATAGCTAAACTGTGGAACCAACCTAGATACCCTTCGGTAGATGAATGGATAAAAAAAAAAAAATGTGGTATATATACACAATGGAATATTATTCAGCAATAAAAGAATAAAATCATGGCATTTGTAGGTAAATGGATGGCGTTGGAGAAAATAATGCTCAGTGAAGTTAGCCAATCAAAAAAATAAAAATAAACAAATGCTGAATGTTTTCTCTGATATAAGGTGACTGACTCATAGTGGGGTAGGGAGGGGGGAGCATGGTAGGAAAAGACTAACTCTAGATAGGACAGGGGTGGGAGGGGAAGGGAAAGAGCAGGGGGTTAGCAAGGATGGAGGAATGTGATAGGCATTATTATCCCAAGTACATGTATGAAGACATGAATTGGTGTGAACATACTTTATATACCAGAAATATGAAAAATTGTGCTCTATATGTGTAATAAAAAATGTAATGCATTCTGCTGTCATTTATTTTTTAAAAATTCAATTAAAAAATTTAAAAAATCTATGATTAATACTTTTAAAAAAATGTTGGCTAGGGGTGTAGCTTAGTGGTAGAGCATATGCTTAGCATGCTGGATTTAATAGTGCGCGCGCGCGCACACACACACACACACACACACACAGAATTGACTTCTCCTAAAAGGCTATAACTCCTAGATGGCCCACATAAATAACTAGATAATGATGGAAGGGAAATCCAGGAAACAATCCATGGAGGTTTATGATCATTTCTCTTTAAATACACAGAGATTGGGGCAAATATTCTGAATAAAGAAGAGAGGTATCAAGAAATCTCATTCAAAGAAAGGATTGTAAAAGCAGAAGCTAAAGTATGGAATCAGGTAAAAGAAGTAGAAATCAACCTAAAATACATCTTTATAGTTCTTTGGCAGAAAGAACAATACTATATAGCTCAGTAGGCAAGAGCATAGTCTACAGAGTCAGCTAGAAAGGCCTGAGTCCTGGCTAGCTATGGGAACTTAGGCAAGTTCTTCAACTTGGCTTCTTCATAAATAAAAGAGAGATAATAATAATGCTTATTTTATAGGAATGAGGGCTCAATGAAATAATGTGCCTAGCACACATGTGGGTGCTTTAATAAGAAGAGGGCCTATCAGAAGCTTCCTTCTTTTTAACTTGCCCTTTTTGTGTGGATGATTCCTGCCTCCTTTATTCTCATTTATTTAAACCTCAAGAGGAAAAGGGAATACTTGTAAAGTGATTATTATGGTCTTACATTTAATATATATCATCTTTTTGTGTAGTGTACAACACACCTGAAATAATGTCCATTTTTTTTCAAATGCTTCATCTTGGCCTACTCCTCTTCATCAAGGGAAAAATCTTCATACTGCCAGGCCAGTAGTCCTACCTATCTATGAGGCCGAGGTGGGAGAATTGCTTGAGCCCACAAGTTCAAGACCAGCATAGGCAACAAAATTGAGACCCCCATCTTAAACAAACGAAACCCCAAATTCTTGATACCTTGTTCATATGATTGCTGAGTATCATAGAAGCAGTTTGAATGTTGGGACTCACAGAGGTAATTGAACAAAGCCTCAATCCTGCAGCCCCCACTTCTTCAAGTCATAGGGAGAATAATATATATGACTTCTTAAAGAGAGTTAAAACTCCTTGAGGACAAAACAAATCACAATCCTTAGAATATTATTTTTTGATTTCTTCATAAAATAGACATTATAGCTAATAGTATCAGAATTGCCGAATATTAGTGCCAGCAAAAGTTTTGTATGTATATATTTTGAACATAAAAAAGTAATGCAAAGAGTAACATATCAAAATTTAAGTACTTGTCTATTTTTTTACTAGTAATAAAATTTGAATTGATTATTAGTCATCAGTTACTTATGCATTCTAATATAAGTGGATGCTTTTGTAAATAGTCTACAGTTTGAAAATAAGTTTATCTAGTTGTCTGGATATTCTCTTCAAAATACTAACAAAACTTCTTTCTGAACCCCTGAAGCAGGGGATCTGGATAGTATTCGGTCTCCCTACTCAGCTTGTAGCTTTGCATGTCTGGTCTCTGTTCCCACATTTTCTACGATAAGCATAAGTTTCTTTGCTAATTAAGCAAGTAAGAAATAGAGTGCCAAGGAGAAAAGACAGTGCAGCAGCATATATACAGTAAAGCTGTAGTATTGGAATGTGTTAGGATCTCTAGTGAAGACAGCCAGGGCACTATGGGAAGTTTGAGATGGGAATAGAGTAAGTAATAGGGCCCCATGGTGTTGCTAATTTTTAAATGTGAAAATCAGATTGACCAGCATCCCATATAGTGATAGTTTGCCCTATTTTCATCCTGAGGTATTAATAAATAATTAGACTATTTCTTTCAAAGGCTAATGAACTCCAAAAACAAGCAGTGGATAAAGTATTTGAAGATCTAACTGCCAAACATAAATTTGAAATTCAGGTTCTGGAAGAGAAACATCAGAAAGATTTACAGGTTTGTTAGAGTGGTTTTGTTGTTGTCTTTTAAGAAATGCTGAAGTTAACAAAAAAAAAATGATAGCTCAACCTTACTTATGTTTACTATTTTGGCATTTTATAAGGGTGCAGATATTTATAAAATAGTAGCATAAAATTATATCTTAATGTGATATATTTGTAGTTGACTGGAAAGGGCACTAAAAAAAGAAGAAGAAATGCTGAAGTTAGTAAAAAAAAAAAATTACTTAAGTTGACAAAAGAATGAGAGCAAATACCATAATATGTAAAGTCTGTGTGGTGTTACATAGAATTATGGAAAGAAGCCCTGGAGATTCACAGAAGAGATGCTGAGCTCTATGGAGCAGTGATATATATGTGAAGGAAAACCTTATAGCCCTGAATGAATGAAACAGGCTGTTCTGTTCTTTCTCCTGGACTTACTTTTTCCTAAATTTGCATGTGCTATACTGCCAGGAGAGACATGGTTCAGCCCAGGGCTGCAAATGCCCCAGTGTACTGTTTACTGATCCCAAAGAACTTAGAGGACTCAACAGAGAGGTTTGAACATTTTATAACTTATGTACTCCTCAGTGGTAGCAGGCCAGGGTATTGTGGAATGCTGCACCATCCCTACAAGCAAAGGGAATGTATACAGTAGGTTGCATGCCCACTGTGCAGGTGGATTTCTTCAGATTTTTTTTAAAGACTTTTTTTTTAGTTGTTGGTAGACCTTTATTTTATGGATTTATATATGCTGAGACTCGAACCCAGTGCCTCACACATGCCAGGCAAGTGCACTACTACTGAGCCACAACCCCAGCCCTCTTCAAATGTTTTGCAAGTACATTCTTTTACTTTACAACCTGTTTTGATCCTTACCTAAAGATTGGAGATAAGGGGTTTAGGATTTAGCTCAGTAGAGTGCTTACCTCACCAGCACAAAAAAAAAAAAGATTAGGGAGATAAGGGAAGTGGCCAGCTTCTCCATTTCCTTCATTATCATATTCCTTAGAGTCACTGTCAGCTTTATAGCACTGATTAGTGTTCACCCCAACAGACATCTGAGTTGTCTCTGAAGTATTTTCTTTTAGAACAGCAGTCACAAGATTGAGAAACTAATGTGACTCCATTTTTGAAAAACCAGCCTCTACCTCAGCAGGGCCTGTCCAACGCGGGAGAGGTGACCCTTGTCCTTGGAAAACCTAAGCACATAGCTACCTTGCTGAGTCATTTGTTGTACCAGATGTCCTTGACTCAGCAAATGCAAGTTCCTGAAAAGACCAAAAGAATGCCTGAGGCCTAATTCAGACCATAGCAACTACCAATCAGAGTAAGACAGGGAAGATACCTGAAATACCAAGGGCCCTCCCAGTAGTTTTGGTGATTGATAACATGACTAAGCAACCCTGCAAGTTTAGCATATACACTCTTGCAACCCCTCGCAGCCTAAACCAATCAGTTCAAATGTATCCACCACTTGAATTAACCAATCACCCTTACTCACTTGTTCCGGCCCGCCCATGAATGTGCTAATCAATGTTAAGAGTTGTTGTTTGATTTTCCTGCGGTGTGAAATGATTTTCTGTATGAGGTTGTGATACTGTAAGGATCCCGCGAAATGTCGGAGAAAGAGACCACCAAGTGACCACTCATGCAATTGGCAAAAGGGGATTTATTGAACCAGCATGCTGGGGCTCTGTGCCCACTCAAGAAGGGAAAGCAGCCCAGAGCCCCGAGCAGGGGCTGAGCACTGCTTAAGTACACTTTTTGGGGAGGGCGGAGGGCTTTGTATACATCAGAACAAATCATCATTAGGTGCGGGAAAATTGAATAACAACTCCTAAACATGATTGGTTCATTCATTGGCGGGAACAGGTCAGGCTTGAGTGATAGGTCATTCCTAAGGAGGGGGTTACATTTAAACTGATTGGTCCAGGCCCTGCAATGCCTACGTGCGACCACACAGAGCCCTTATTAAACAACCAATAGTCAGGGGAAATATTTACTGGGCAGTTCCAAGCATTGTCTCAACAGCTACAGAAATTTCAGGTTTTGCAGGTAGCATAGATACCTAACAATACCTAATCCTTTACATTTTAACTCAGACCTTGCAGCTTAGAAACTTTACAACACCCGGTCTTTTACCCTTTAACTTTTATGCTTTAACTTCAATTTCTTTTACCCTTACAATACATAGAGTATCCCCCCCAAAAAAACCTATAAATCCTCATTGAACAAAGGGTCAGGATTCACTCCTCGGGATCACTGCTTCAGAAATGGTTGAGAGTCCAGGCTTGAGCTTGCAATAAAGACTCTTGTGTGATTGCATCGGATTCGGCTCCTGGAGTGTTATGCTCGAATTCGGGACCCCCAAAAGACCACCAGAGACCAAGATCGATGTAAGCAGCAAAGAGGTGTTTATTGTGAGCTAGCTCGGTCCTCCACGCACACACAGCAACTGGTGATGCTGAGAGGCCCCGAGCCCAGGGTTTGCAGCAGTTTCATACACTTTTTGGGGAAGGCAGGGACCCTACATACATCATAGGATCTCTTAGCAAATCATCACACACCACGGGAAAATCATAAAACAACTCTAAAACATGATTAGCACATTCACTGGCAGGAACAAGTTGGGTAAGGGTGATTGGTTAGTACAAAAGGGGGATTCCTTTGAATTGATTGGTTTAAGCCAAGAGGGGTGTTTGTGCTAAAGGTTTCCCAACCCGTTATCAACCACCATAAACTACTGAGAGGATCATCTGGCATCCCAGGTATTTTCCTGGTCTCATGCTGATTGGTGGCTGCTAGGGGTTGCTATGAGTCCCCACCTAGCCTGACTGAGTCAGGACACCTGGAGCAGCAGATCTCTCCTGTTATTTGTAGATAAACAACTCAACAGGGTGAGTATGTGCCTAGGAGTGCTCTGTGGGTCTTTCCAAGGACAAGGGTCACGCCCCCTTCCTTGGACAGGCTTTGCTCTGAGGTAGAGGCTGGTTTTTCATTGAGGTCTATTGGGGTCCCACAAATCTGTCATTACAAGATGAGAGGGAACTCTTTTTAACCTGCAATCTGTTCAAACACATGATTCTAGATAACTAGTAAACTTTCCAGGCAGAGGTCCTGGGATTCATTATTTAGTTCTGTATTCTGTTTACATCTGATATGAATGTAGAAATATTTTCACATTTGGCCAAGGGAGAAACAAAGAAGGACAAGGTGCATGGGCAAAAGCTGGAGGAAAGTGGCAGACACCTAGCCCTAGGTATGGACTAACTTAATAAGAACTATAACTAACCCTGGTACAATGGCGCATGACTGTAATCTCAGTAATTTGGGAGGTTGAAACAGGAGGCTTGCAAGTTCAAAGCCAGTCTCAGCCAAAAGTGAGGTGCTAAGCAACTCAGCGAGACCCTGGCTCTAAATAAAATACAAAATAGGGCTGGGGATGTGGCTCAGTGGTCAAGTGCCCCTGAGTTCAATCCCTGGTCCCCCACACAGACAAAAAAAAAAAAAGGAAAAGAAAAGAAAAAACATAACTAATGAACAGTTCAAGGTCTGTGGGCCCATGTATTCATTGATCTGACAGTGAGCATCTACGAAATGTTATCTCTGTACTAGTTGAGATTAAATGGACTGTCCTTGTCCTCAGGGAACTAACAGAGAAGAGAGCTCTTCCCCTGGGTTCTAAAAGTAGAATGCTCTCTGCTTGGCTCCAGTGGCCCAATACCGCCAGTCTTGGCATGGTCTTTTAGGGGTGGGCTGCAACATCTCACTGCCCATGCCCAGTTCAAATAGGAAAATGCCATGGACCACCACCATGTCCATAAGGTAAAAACAAATCAGACACTCAAGAGAGGCCCAGATATTCATTGTCACAAAACCTGAGGAAGTTTCTGAGAGACACTGTATAAAAATGCTTGTCAGATATTTGTACATAAACAGATATTTATACAGTAAACACTGTGGGATTCATAAAGTTTGTTTCCTATAATATCTTCAAAATGTGGGCTGACTCATTCAAGATATATTTCAGTAAAAGCAGTTTTATCCGGAAATCTTACACTAGATAAGAACACTGTCAAACAATAGGTTGCTGAATGAAACAACAGTACATATATGTACTCTATATGCTAAGTGAGGCAGTAGCAAATAGATTAAATGCTGGAAACTAGACAAAAGGGGGCTCACTGACAATGATTTGGATTTTTCTAGGTCATTACATAAAAGAGAGACTGAGGCTTAATTCTCCAAATCCTAGTTCAGAACTCAGCCAAAATAAAGGGCTGAGATGTTATTTTTTAAATTCAGTTATTTAAGGAGAAATATGCTATGGTAATATGATAGCTTACCTATTTAAAGCTCTACCATCTTGCAGTCTCAATTACTGAAAATATACTTACTTAAGGGCTGGGGGGATATAGCTTAATTGGTAGAGTGCTTGCCTTGCATGCACAAGCCCTAGGCTCAATCCTCCATACCACAAAAATAAATAAAATACAAAATAGGGTCAGGGATGTGGCTCAGTGGTCAAGTACCCCTGAGTTCAATCCCTGGTATCAAATATATATATATATATATATTTTTTTTTTTTTTTCTTGAAAACACAGAAATAAGTTAAGATAGCCTCTACAGAGTTTAATAACACCCCTAACAACAAGAGAAAAACTCAGGCTTATTTCCAGTAGTAGAATTCCTCCATCCTCATTCAGATGTCATTATACTTACTTGACATCCTGAACCCAACAACCTTGGTGGTTTGCTATTTTAAACCCCAAAATAGATTAAATGCTGGAAACTAGACAAAAGGGGGCTCACTGATAGTATTTAGAACAGACAGTCCTCAACCCAAGGAGGCATGAGAAGAGTAAGAAAAATTACAAAGAGCAGTTATCAAGTCTCAAACAGCAGTTCATTCTGAAGTCATTTATGGCAGAGACAAATGGCTCTATGAACTTGAACAATTATTGAGTACCATATGAAATTTTTACCGCAGTACAACCATTCATCTTTGTCTTCTGAGCCCAGATGACCAAGAAAACATTAGTGTTTTATTATAGTCCTTTTATAAGGTAAACTGAGTGGTAAAAGACATTTTCATTCAAAATATTTAATTTTCAAGCAGTTTTAGAGACAAAGCCTTTTGCTATATAGAAAATGTAGCTTACATTCCTAAGTGGCCAATATTTCCCTATAAAGATTTTTCAAAATCCATCAACTAAGGTCATTCAGGAGAAATTCTTCAAATTGGTTTTTCTTATCTCTTAAAAATATTCACCATTGGAGTAGCCAAAGTAAGAAGTTGAAAACTTTTCTTCTCTTGAAAAAGCTGTTGTCTAACAAATATTTTAATTGTTAAAATATTTTCTAATAAACTAAGAGGAATTTCATTTTTCTGAAAACTTTCAACTTCTGCTGAGGATTCTGTCTGGATACATAGTAAATGGAACCAGCTTCCTAGGAGCCCCCCCACAGAAAGTGTTTTGAAGGGTGTTAGGCAATATTGAACCAGGAAAACTTTATTGGTTTTATTCCTTTCAACTTTGGGTGATATTTCATTTGGAGAAGATATTCTGCAGTAAAGAAAAGTGAGGAAGGAAAGAAGGCAGGCGGCCAGATAGGCAGGTGGAGACAGGGAGGCTACTATATCATAAGATTTTGCAGTGTTTCTGGAATGAATAAATGGGTAAATTTCTTGAAAAAGTCCAATATAACCAGCAAGGGAGAAACTGGTCATTGAGAACCTTGGTTTTCATCCCTAATTCTTCCACTGACTTGTGTGAAACAACTTTATTTATGTTCTCTTGATATCTTCCCTAAAGTAGAGATAAAAGTTTACCATTAAATGAAAGTTTTGAAACTCTTGGACAGAACCAACTGCTCCATTCTTGCATGTATTCCTACTACAAGACTCATTGCAAAATTAGTTTGTTGGTCTTTTCCACTGATAGTAAATACTCTGAGAACAAGTGTTTTACTCTGCTTTTCATCACTGTGACCAGATTACCTGACAAGAACAATTTAGAGGAGGAAAAGTTTATTTGGAGCACACAGTTTGAGAGGTCTCAGTCCATAGATGGCTGACTCCATTGTTCTTGGCCTTAAGAGAGGCACACATCTTTAGGAGAAGGGCCCAAGGAAAGCTGTTCAGTTTTTGGTGGGACTAAGAAGCAGAAAGAAAGAGATTGTAGGGACTGCAGAGAAGCTGTACATTTCCAGGACATACCCTACCTGCCCCCATCTCCTCCATCCACATTCTACCTGCCTATAGTTACCATCCAGTCAGTCCATTCAAACAAGTATGGACTCTTTAGGTTACAAGTCTCACAATCCAATCATTTTACCTCTTTATATTCTTGAGTTAATACAGGAACTTTTGGGGAGACCTTATATCCAAACCATAATATTTGGCCACATTTCTAAAATGTCTACTAACAGAATTTTCCTTTACAACTATATATGAGTCCCCCCCCCCCCCACAAATCTTGGTTTGACTAGTGCTTCCTTTCTTTGTTTGTCTGAAAGCCATTCACAGGTTCTCCTAACCACAGAGCAATGAAACACTTGTTTCTGTCTCCTTTATGAAAGAGAAAGTACATCCCAACACAAATGAGCTTGAATATTCCAACAGCAGTGGGGACTGGAAGGCAGGTTCCTTTGACTGCAGTAATGTACAACTGTTTTCTGCTTGAGTCTCAGGTTCTCTCCTACACAGAAGTCACTGAGTACAATAATTATTGCACCATTTCCCAGGACTTACTAAAGCAGAATCGTATATTGTCTTTCTAAAAAGTTGTAATGATAATCTGACAGTTAAGAAAAAAAGACCTTTATTCTCACCCCTCCTTTTTGCATATTCCATTTCAATATGTTCACAGTATATGTATCTATGTACATAGTTTATAGTTTCCTGATTTTATTTAACATCACATAAATTAAAGTTTTACATATCATGCACAATATTCTTTTAAATTATCAGTGTTATCAGGTGCACACTTCTTCAGGTGGATGAATCTATGATTTAGATTACCTCTTAGGATTCGTTTTAAGGGATTGGGGATTATAACTCAGAGGTAGAACACCTTTTTTAACTTGTGTGAGAACCCTGTTCAATCCCTAGCACTTTAAAACACACACACACACACACACACACACACACACACAAAACAAATGTTAAAATATTTTAAAACATCAAGGCTGTAACATCTAAACCAAGCATTCCTATTGTTTAAGGACATGGAAGCTAAAACCAAGACAGAAATGTTTCGAAACATGAGTGATGAAATGAAGAGAGAAAACATGGCTGCAGAACAACGCATGGTGCACAGAATCCAAAGAATTATGATGGAGTGCCACAGGGAGAAGATGGAGGCTGTGGAGAAAGCCAGGGAAGAAGAAAGACGGATCGCTCAGGATCTTTTAGAAGCCCAAAGAAGGTATTCCACTGATTACATTTGCAAATTAGTATTTGACTCTTATCAAAATCCACCTGAAGAAAGGGATAAGGTTAAGGTACATGGGTGGATATTCCCCATTTGGGGAATTTTTACATTTTTATTATGAAATATAGCAAACATATCTTACAGAAGGTGTGTGTGTGTGTGTGTGTGTCTGTGTGTTTTAAAGCAAAGTAGTAACAAATACTGAAGGACCTGATACCCATCTTATAAGGGGACTGAAAATTACCAACACTTAAGAAGCTTCCATATGTTCTCCATATCCATCTCCCTTCTCAAGAGATAACTACTCTTAAATATTATGTTTTTCACTCTGGATCTCCAGTTTTAAGAAGCTGAGGAGAGAAATCAAGAAACATTTCCCCTTAAATACCTAAGTCAATCTTTACATCCTCTATCCTAGTTCCTATGTGGTTATATTACTTCTTGCTTTAGCAAAAAAAAAAAATTGACTTTGTGGACCTGTATAGAGCAAAATTGCATATCCCAGCTTAATGCTTCCTCATCCCTCCTTGCCTCTAGAGAAAATCATTTTAAATTATACTTTGTATCCTTCCATACCCTCTTGATGTAAATATGTATATAATCACATGCTTGTGATAATCACATATATGTACATAATAAAAATCATTTTACACCCATCATAATATATGTGTGCATGTGTTTGTGTGTGAATGTGTATGAAGGGAACCTTTCTAGGTACATAATGAACATTTGGTGGAATAGGACAGCAGTGAGGAGCACAGGAATTGTCAAGTGAAAAACAGTTTCCAGATACAAGTGACCTGCCCAAGATCATAGAGCTGCAGCATAGAACTGAGACTGAGACCTCCCTGTTTGGCCTCCTAGACTGTGGCCTGTCACTTTTGTTTTGCCATTTGAGTTAACAAGCACATACATTTGTATATAGTTGATCAGTGAAACCTTTTTCATTAGAACTATTAGAACAGCACTAAAGGTAAAATCCTGAAGGAGGGACAGATAAACAAGAATGAGGGGTACAGTTGTGTCAGTTTCAGGGGTATCACCCTTTCTGCATAGATTTTAAATCATTGTGGATGTAGACAAGGAGAGTGAGAAAGGATTTGAAGAGGGAGTTAGAGAATGAGTTGTGGTCCAATGCAGTGGAAAATGGACCCTCTTCTCCCCTTTTCTGTTCCCTTTCCATGTCTGGGGGGTTTTCCTCCTGAGGAGCCTCTGGGTCCACTCCTCATACACATACATATACCTGCAGTCTCCTGATCTCTCCCTTGCTCTATTGCTTTTGCCCCTTTCCACCACTTTCCTGTGTTTAACTGAAATAAGATTTTCAGTGTCCATCTTCTACTGAATCAATAGACTGAGACCAGGGAATTGCTATGTCTGTTGTTTATATCCAACTGAAATGTCTGTTTTGTTCACTGGGGTTTTCCAAGTGTCTGAAAGAAAACCTGATAAATGGCTAGTATTCTTTAAATATTTATTTAACAAATGATTCAAATTTGTTCTGCTCAAATGAACCCTGCATCCATACCAGATCTAATTTCTAGATATTGCTGGATTCCAGTGTTGTTTAAAACATTTATAGAAATTAATGTATGTAAAGAGACCACTAATTAGAATTCTATCATAGATTCTTTATTTGACTATAAATTTTCCTGCAAGACTTAAGGATTCAGAACACATATATATTTTGAGAAATTTGTTAAATGCACAGACAACTTTTTTTGTGAATTAAGGTGATTAGATTCTAAACATATTACTCAGGAGACATGGGACTTTTTTTTTTAATATCTCAGCTTGAGTAGTTTCTAATTATATTCTAATATAAGGCAAGACATGAATGAAGGAACTGCTCAGGAATTTTTGTGGTCATGTAATTCCTAGTGACAGCTACCCTTTATTCAGTACTCAGTATACAGAAGCCCTTTGTGTACTTCTCATTGAATTCTCATATCCCTTCCTGGGGGATTCTGTCATCCTGTATATCATCAGATTAAGACCCCCAAGTCTTACAAAGAAACTAAGCAAACTCCCAAAGGTCACATGGAGAGGAGATGATAGGGCCTGATTTGAACCCTGGCCTGTATGAGGCCAAAGTTTGTGACCTTCCATTAGGCTACCTTGATCTACATGAAGTTATATGAGTTATCTAGAGGATTTGTATTCTTCTTCAGAGCTAGTTAGATGCTTTCTGTGGATGTGGCACTGAAGTTCTGGCACATTAGGTGGAGTAATTAGATGAGCAAGCCTGGATGTACTGGAACAGGTAACACTTAGATTCTGGAAGAGTTTGAAGTCATGGAAAGATAAAGTGTGGATGGGGTAGTAGAAAGGTAGGGTTTTTTGGAGAAAGTTGGTCTTGGGTTGGTCCTTAGAAGATGGAAGATCCCACTTTGAAAGAAGCAAAATAATGAGAACAGAAAGAGCAAAAACATGGAAGGAGAAGGTTTGGTGTATAATGAGGCAGAGCCAATGGAAAAGCTCAAGGGTATTAATAACCCTAAGATCCAAATGTGCTGCAGAAGGCTGGCCTCTAGAGATGTTCCCCACCTGCCCATACCTTCTATAATACCTACAACACCAGCTTGAGGGTATCATTAATTCTCCTATCAAACCAGAAAGCCATAGGTTCCTTATGTCCAGGGTAGAAAATCAGAATTGAAAAATTGCAAGCACAATTTTTATACTTGATTGAAGTAGAGCTAAAAGTTGTAGTTCAAATGAAAAATGGATTCATAGCCTAATCAGGCCAATTATTTAATATGTTATACTTTGCTCTACTATTATATGGACAAATGACTTTTGGGAACAAATCTCATCATGATTTAGAAATACCCAATGGGGGAAATGAAATACTGGTTCTTAGTGTTTTAAGATCCAGGATTTTTACTGATAGATGTAGAAAGGAGGTTGAACAGTAGAAATGTGTTAGTCAGCTTTTCATCACTGTGACCCAAAGACCTGACATAAAACAACTTAAAGCAGGAAAAGTTTATTTTGCTTGTTTTTTTTTTTTGTTTTGTTGTTGTTGTATTGGTGGTATTGGGGATTGAGCCCAGAGTCTTTTGCATGTGAGGCAAGCACTCTATCAACTGAGCTATATCCCCAGCTGGGAAAAGTTTATTTTGGTTCAAAGTTTCAGAGATTTCAAGTCTATGGTTAGTTGACTCCATTGCTTTGGGCTGAGGTAAGGCAGAATATCATGGCAGAAGAACAAGGCAAAGGAAGCTTCTCAGCTCATGGCAGCCTGGAACCAGAGGGTGCCAGGGAGTGCGAGGGGGAAGAGAGAGAGACAGAGAGAGAGAGAGAAAGAGAAAGAGAGAGAAGCCAGGGACAAGATATAGTTCCCAAGGGCATGCCCTCAAGGATCCACTCCCTTCTACTAGGTTCTGTGCTTTCAACTTCTTCTTCTTCTTCTCCTTCTCCTTCTCCTTCTCCTTCTCCTTCTCCTTCTCCTTCTCCTTCTTCTTCTTCTTCTTCTTCTTCTTCTTCTTCTTCAAAATATCTTTTAATTGTCAATTGACCTTTATTTTATTTATTTATATGCAGTGCTGAGAATTGAACCCAGTGCCTCACACATGCTAGGCAAGTGCTCTACCACTGAGCCACCACCCCAGCCCCACTTCCTACCACTTCTGAATAGTACATTCAAATTTTGAATCACTCAATGGATTAATCTACAGATGAGGTCAGAGCCCTCATGATCCAGTCACTTCCCAAGTGGCCCATTTATGAACACTGCTATACTGGGGACCAAGCTTCAACACATGAAACTTTGGGGAACAATCCAGATCAAAATCATAACAAAAACATGTATAAGAAAAGTTTTTTAAAAATTTGCTTAATAAGTAGAAGAGAAGAAATGCTTATTGATATATTTCTTTAAATGTATGAGCAAAATATCTTGTACCATGTCAACAGCCTTCTAAAAATAATGAAGAGAACTAAAAGAGATCCTAAAGAGAGCAGAAGACAAATAAATTGTTATTACAAATTTTCTATGCTTTATTTTTTCCCCAATAGCTTAGTAAGTTTGAATTATTATATTTTTATTTTTTTCAGGGCTGGGGTAGCTCAGTGGTAGAGCACTTACTAGCACATGTGAGGCACTGGGTTTAATCCTCAGTACCACATAAAAATAAATAAATAAAGACTTTGTATTTATCAATTTAAAGAAATAACTTTCTTTCATTCTTCAAGAGTCCATTCTTGAGAGGGAGAGGGGGAGAGAGAGAGAGAGAGAGAGAGAGAGTTCTTTAAAACATCAGACTGAATTCTACAGATGTGTGGACACTTACTGCAACTGTTTTGAAAATAGTTACATTTCTAACCAGCACCATTCTGAAATGTGTGAATTTCAGAATTTCAAGTCTACAGTCTATGAGACTATGAGTGTATAAGATAAAGATGGAAGATGGACCTTACTGCTTAGAGAAGGAGCATAGATATTCATTTAATCAGAATGGATATTGGAGGTTATGGAGCTGAACCAGCAGCTGGTGAGCCATCTCCTCCAGTGACAGGAGTGTTACTTGCTATTGGAGGCTGTTGGTTCAAGCGTTAAACATTGCCACTTGTCTTGTTTTTCCTAATGTTGATCCAAAATGTTAAGCCTCACCTTCATTTCCACCCTTGGCTTCTGGCTCTGCCCTCCACTCTGCATAGCAATCCTTCAAAATATTTGTGGAGAAAAAAAAATTACAATAACATCATTGTAAAGTTTTATAATTACAAATAAAGAAGAATATTGTAAACAGCTAAAAAAAAATATTTGTGGAGAGATTATTCCAAGATTTACTTTAAAGAAGGAAAGGAAAAAAAACAGAGAGCACTAATATACCCACTTCTTTCAGTCCTTACAATGTGCTTTCTAGGCCTCTCTTTTAGAGGAAACATTTTAAATATATAATCATAAGAATTGACTATTTTTCTGGCAAATAATTTGCTTATGTTTAGAAAAATTTTAAAGCATAAACTCTTTTAAGCTTTTGCAACACTTCAACTTAGCTATTTTAAAATTCGATATTATTTGGCACACACACACAAAAATATATCCACTCCAACTACCACGTTAAAGAGCGAAAATATAAAGATGAATGGCACTGTAGATCACAGCCTCTATGCACTATGCCCCACCCCATTCCTGGCTTCCAACTCCATACCTTCAGGAAATCATCAGAATAAAATTCAGAGACATCCTGACTAAAATCAAAAGGAGTAAATCCCAAAGGTAAAAAATCTGGGCCCTGAGGTAGGCTAGAAGAAGTTGGAAAGGATATTCAGACAACACCAGAACTTTCTGAGAAGAGACTTTGATTTCAGGGAGTTTAAAAAACAAAAACAAACAAAAAAACTGTTCATGCCTGGGGCTATAGTTCAGTGGTGGAGCACTTGCCTACCAGTTGTGAGGCACTGGGTTTGATCCTCAGCACCACATACAAATAAATAAATAAAAAGGTATTGTGTCCATCTACAACAAAAAATTCTAAAAAATAAAATAAAAATAAAAAATATTGAGGGTGAAATTAGGAGTCATCTAAGACAGACTTCATTGAAACCAGATTTACCTAAGGTCAGCTCTATGGAGACTTGCAGTGGCCCATACCTGAACACCTCCCCCGTGTGGGGGCAACCCAGAAAGAAAATCACCCTGCCTGTTACAGAACTGTGACTTTAGAAGAGCAGAGTTTCTTCCTTGGGGACTTAAAACCTGATCGAGGAAGGCTCCTTCTGGCTCTTTCTGAACTAAGCTCCGTGGCCCCCTGTTATCACGTTCACAGTCTCACCAACAACCGAAGGGTTTTATAAAACATCAGACTAAACCCTAAGGATGTGTGTGGATGTGCAATATCAACTGTACGTACAATGTCACTTCTACTAATGCCACCTCCATTCCACTGGGGCCCGAGTTGAAAGCCAGGAAGTTGGGTTAAATTCTTCTTTTTCGTGCACTCCTTATATCCTAGCAGTAGTTGATTGCTGGCAGTTGTGACTCTGATATTTCTTTGTTTATGTCTCCTCTCCCTCTCTCTGGTCATTGCACCTCCAGAATGTTACAAAATGGTACTGTTTGGTCTCTCTGACTCACCCCACTAATATTTAGTTCACTCGCTGTTACTGGAATAACAACCCTAAAATGTTACATTCATTGTATTACCCTCTCAATGAAAAATTTATAGTGATGTCTCATGAGATTGAAGCAGGTATTGGTTAAGGGTAGGATCTCTTCCCCTTGCTCAATTGTGTCACATTGAAAAATAATCTCTCTAAGGCTCAATTTTCTCACCTATCACATGTGAATAATAATAAATAAAATAATACCAGCTTCATTGTGTTCTTATGAAAATTAAATGAGATATAATAAATATAAAATGCTTAGCAAAGTTCCTGGGACACAGTTAGTGCCCAATGATAGCACTTGCTATCAATAATGGATATAGCTTAGTTGGTGGGAAAAGGAAGAAAAATAGTCTAGTAACTAGAGAGGCTAAGGACAAATGATGTTTAGTTCAAGGCTGTCAAATTTAAAAGTCAAGATGGAACAATAAGAGATGAAAGGATTAATTGCATCTTGGAGGAAGGAATTTGGACAATAGAGTAAATGGTAAATCTTGGAAAGGTTATGTTAAATTGGGAAGCAGGAGGGATTTTACTAACAATTGTAAGTATTTGAATCCAACATTTGCAGATTTATTTATTCTCAGATCTTCAGAGGTTCTTCTCAGACTAGGCAAACTATAGAAATCCACTAGAGATTTATCATAGTGGCTGCGAGTTTTTGCCCTGAATTCAGACTGCATGGGTTGTGATGCTGATTTTGCCACTTTTACTAAAAGTGAAGATGGACAAGTTATTTAAATTGAGCATAATAACAGAACTATCTCACAGAATTGTTTTTGAGAAGTCAGTGAGTTAACATGCACAAAAGTTTGGCACCTGGTAAGAGGTCAAAGGATTGGCTGCTATAAATTATATATAACTATATACATTATAACCAGACATCTGAATCATTCAACAGTGCTTCTGAAAGCATAGTCCAAGGACCCTCAAGGTCTTTGAGACATTTGGGGAGTATCCATGAAATCAACAATACTTTCTTGATGATTCTGCCTTTTTCACTCTCATTTTTTAATGAGTGTATAGTGAAATTTTCCAGAGGTTTTATGGTGTATAATATCACAATATATTGAGATAATATGAAAGCATAGCTTTGATGTAGCCAGACTTTAAACAATATTAAAAAAAATTATGCCACTCTTCTCACCAAATATTTTATTGTTTTAGAAGAGATGGTTTTCACAAAAATATTTAAGTTCATGTGTAATTGATTTATTGTTATTTTTACATTAACTAATAAATATTTTTAAATGTCTACATTTAGTTTCTAGTACTGTCAATAGATACAACTCATATAAACAAAAGATCTCTGGGCCTTTAGTAACTTTGAGTATAAAAGGGATCCTGAGACCAAATAAATCTGAAATGGCTGTCCTTGAACACCTCTCAGATAAAATCAGGGTTAAAGCTAAATCTAGCCCATAGGTATAGAGTTTTCTTCCCTTTGGCTAAAATCAAGTAGCTGGGTTGATATATTTTCTCTAGGAGTATGTAAGTTTGAAACTATTTCTTCATTTAAAAAAATTATTATTTTTTAGTTGTCAAAGGACATTTATTTATTTATTTATTGTCCTTAGAATTAAACCCAGTGCCTCACACATGCTAGGCAAGCACTTTACCACTGAGCCACAACCCCAGCCATTATTTCTTCATTTTTAAGCAAAACACATTCATATTTTTTCTGGCTAAAGTGAATGCAGGTCCCCAAATGTACCATGAGACATTAGACTAGAGGCCTTGCTCTATCCCACAGCAGAGAAGCTGAATAGCCTCCTTGTTATGAAAAAATTTTTTTGATTCATTGCTAATGCTTTCTACAGCAGCCTGTCTCAGCTCAGTAATGTAATGATTTCTTATACATCTGTGGATATAGTGAAAATCAATCTATTTTCAGTAGGTAATCCATCTAATTAATAAATCTGTATCTTTTTTTTTTTTGTAGCAAGGCCATGGAAGAACTCGTGAATACTGGTGCATCCATCATTAAGGACCAGAGGATGAACTTTAACCAGATAATAAGAGAAAAGGAACATGAAATGAACATCTACTATGGCATAGCTCAGAAACAAAAGCAAGAAGAGGCGCAGGAAGTGCTTCAGGAAGCTGAGAAAACATACCAGGCCACTCTTGGTAATGTGATGGATAAGCTGGTTAACACTCAGGGGGAGCTGCTGTCCATAGTAAACCAACTGGGAATCATGACAAACTGGAAAGATTTTCTGGAGGAGGAACTACAGGAAACCAGAGCAGCATTTCAAAAATACATCGATTATACGTTTCCTCAGCTTTCACCAGGACAAGCCGATTTTATTATGCCAAAAAGAAGGAAAACACCTTCCAATCTTCTTATGGACAATGAAGCAACTCTTGAATAGAGGTCTTTAGCTGAAATGTCTCCACATAAACAGCATTCAAAAGGCTTAATAAATTTATTTAAAACCACTATTAACCCCTGGTATTTTACAGGGTACGATTGGGCTATATACATTGCATGGAAAACCAAAATACTTAAAAGCATTTTCCAGGTTATGATGAATGGTTAATTTGAATTGTCAACTTGATTGGATTAAGAGATGCCAATGATTAAAAGGCTTCTGAGTGGAAGGAACATAAACTTAGATCAGGCTAAATTATTGATATTGGCTCATTTAGCAGAGATTCTAGATGTAAGGTAATAGCTCAGTGTTTAAAAGGGTACTAATAGTTTGTGTGACTGGTTGGCTGAAGTATGGGTTCAAAGATGGCCTATTATAAATGAGCTGGAAATGCCTGACATCCCTTGGTTTACTGTTAATGAGGGAATTCAGAGGCTCAGAGAGATTAGAATGCTAGAATAAATCTGTCATGTACAACCTTTCTCCCCATACTTGGAAGGTCCAGAAGTTGTACCCTTCATCAAAACTATAAGAAACAAATTTGTGAGGTGTCATCAGCATCCTTGAAGAGCTCTGTGGTTGCTCTTCTTTGCATGCCAGACATTACTGTGGGAACTGTGGTCTCAGGGAGGAAGGGGCCAAGTGGCAGCCCTCAGTTGCCAAAGACAGGGTGATCATAGTTACCATAATGGACAGCAAAGGGGAAGAAGTGGATGCAATGTTCTGACTCGTATAGTATAGATCTCTGGCATTGTCTAATTAATCATAGTGTCTCTAGAAGCCAAATAGATGGAAAACCCACCAAATTCTTACTTGACTAATATAAGCAGGAAAATTCCAGGGCAAATTTACAAAAGTTTGCTTTAGATCATAACAACAGAGAATCATGACCCCTCAACCGCTTCCCAGATATGAGTCAATTACAGATTTAGAACCCCTTGAATTAAGGGGAGGCCAGGTCTCCTTGTGGAAGGACCCTGGTACAGTACCAAAAATCTGTTTTTTTACTGTTAATCTTTCTCCCATCCTTCCCCAAAGGGACTAAGGTCTTTTACCAGGGTAACTGTGTATTGGGGAAAAGGCAATGATCAGAACTTTCAGGGACTACTAGACAGCTCTGAATTGATTCCAGGAGACCCAAAACATCATTGTGGCTCTCCAATAAAAGTAGGGGCTTATGGAGGTCAGGTGATCAATGGCGTTTTGGCCAAGGTCTGACTCACAATGGGTCCAGTGGGCCCCCAAACTCATCTTGTGTTTATTTCCCTAGTCCCAGAATGTGTAATCAGGATAGATATTCTTAGCACTTGGCAAAACTCCCACACTCGTTCTCTAACCTGTGGAGTGAGGACTGTTATGGTGGAAAAAGCTAAATGGAAGCCTCTGGAGTTTCCTATACCTGGGAAAATAGTGAATCAAAAGCAGCATCGCATCACAGGAGGGATTGCAGAGATTGGTGCCACCATCAAGGACTTGAAGGATGTGGGGCTGGTGATTCCCACAACATCCCCATGTAACTCTCCTGTTTGGCCTGTGCAGAACATAGATGGGTCTTGGAGAATGACAGTTGATTATCATAAGCTTAATCAGGTGGTGACTCCAGTTGCCGCTGCTGTACCAGATGTGGTTTCTTCACTTGAGCAGATTAATACATCTCCTGGTACCTGGTATGTGGCTATTGATTTGGCATGTGCATTTTTCCTCCATCTCAGTGCATAAGGACCACAAGAAATGATTTGCTTTCAGCTGGCAAGGCCAGCAATATACCTTCAACTGTCCTTCCTCAGGGGTATGTCAGCTCCAGCACTATGTCACAGCTTAGTCCACAGAGACTTGTTCATCTTTCTCTTCCACAGTGTATTACACTGGTCCATTATATCAATGACATTATGTTGATTACTGAGCAGGAGGTAGCAATCACTTTGAACTTGCTAGTGGAGCATTTGCGTATCAGAGGATGGGAAATAAATCCCACTAAAATTCAAGGGCCTTCAACTTCAGTAAAGTTTCTAGGAGTCCAGTGGTGGGGCCTACCGAGATATTTCTTCTAACGTAGAGGATAAGTTATTGCATCTGGCCTCTCCTACAAATAAAAAAGAAGCACAACACCTGGTAGATTTGGGAGGCAGCAGATTCCATACGTGGGTGTTACTTCAGCCCATCTACCAAGTGACTAGAAAAACTTCTTGTTTTGACTGGGGTCCAGAACAGGACCAGACTCCTATGCAGGCTGCTCTGCCACTTGGACCATATGACCCAGCTGACTCAATGGTATTTGAAGTGTCAGTGGCATTGTCTGGAACCTTTGGCAGGCCCCCATCGGTGAATCACAGAAGAGGCCATTGGGATTTTGGAGCAAGGCCCTGCCATCATCTTCAGATGTGGCAGTTATGCATGGGCTCAGCAGCATGGACTTCCACTCACTAAGGCTGGTTTGGCTACAGCCACTGCTGAGTGTTCAATCTGCCAGCAGCAGAGACTGACGCTAAACCCCTAATATGGCATCATTCCCTGGGGAGATCAGCCAGCAACTTGGTGGCAAGTTGATTATATTGGACCACTTTCATCATGGAAGGGACAGCTGTTGTCCTTATTCTGGGTATGGCTATGCCTTTCCTGCATGTAGTGCTTCAGCCAAAACCACCATCTGTGGATTTACAGAATGCCTATCCCATAGTCATGGTATTCCACATAGCATTGCTTTGGACCAAGGAACTCACTTCACATCCAAAGAATGAGGCAATGGCTCATGCTCATGGGATTCACTGGTCTTGCCATGTTCCCCACCATCCTGAAGGAGCTGATTTGATAGAACTATGGAATGGACTCTTGAAGATGCAGTTACAGTGCCAGCTAGGTGGTAGTACGTTGCAGGGCTGGGGCAAGGTTCTTCAGAAGGCTGTGTATACTCTGAATCAGCATCCACTATATAGTACTGTCTCTCCTATTGCTAGAATTCATGGGTCCAGGAATCAAGGAGTGGAGAAAGGAATGGTACCACTCACCCTTAACCCGAGTCACCCACAAGGAAAGTTATCGCTTCCTGTCCCTGCTCGTGGGCCTAGAAGTCTTAGTTCCAGAAGGAGGAATGCTTCTGCCAGGAAATACAACAATGATTTCATTAAACTGAAGTTAAGACTTTCCCCTGGCCACTTTGAGCTCCTCATGTCTCTGAGTCAACAGGCTAATAAGGGAGTTATGGTGCTGGTGATTGATCCAGATTACCAAGGGGACATTGGACTGTTATTTCACAATAGAGGTAAGGAAGCATACTCCCGGAAGTGCAGGAGATCTCTTAGGGTATCTCTTTATATTACCCTGTCAATGAGAAACTACCACAACCCAATCCAGGCAAGACAACAAATGTCTCAGGCCCTTCAGGAATTAAGGTGTGGGTCATACCTCCAGATAAAGAACCAAGACCTGCTGAGGTGCTTGCTGAAGGTAGAGAGAATACAAAATGGCTAGTAGAAGAGTCATAAATACCGAATATGGCCACATGACCAGTTACAGAAACCAGGATTGTAATTGCCATTGAATATTTCTTATTCCATTAAGAATATGTTTGTGCATACTTACATATGCATTAAGAGGAATTGATTGTTACTTTCCTGTTACTCATCATGTAATGTAATATTAATTGGCTTAACATTAGTAATGTCTTTGCTTTTTTTTTTCTATTCTCGGAAAAGAACTAGTGCGTTTTCTGTTGTCAGAAGAATAGTTATGCTAGGCGGAATTATGACCTTGTTATTTGTTTATTTCGAGATTAAGTATGATGTAAAAAGTCATATTTGGATATCAAGTTGACAAAGAGCAGACTTGTTAATTTGAAGTGTCAACTGGATTGGATTAAGAGATGCCAATGATTAAGAGGTTTCTGAGTGTGTCATTGAGGGTGTTTCTAGGTATGATTGGCATGTGGAATAGCCAACTGAAGTGGAGACCCAGAGGATGGTGAATTGGACAAAATAAAAGTTGAAAGAACAAGGAAGCAGCAGCAGATGCAAGCTCAAGTCTTCTTATTTTTTTTTTTAAGACACAATACCTTTATTTTTATGTGGTGCTAAGGATTGAACCCAGTGCCTTTCATATGTAAGCACTCTACCACTAAGCTACAACCCCAGCTCTTGATTCTTCCTTTTTTTTTTTTTTTCTTTTCTTTTTTTTTTTATTTATTTATTTATATATAACAGTGGAATACATTACAATTCTTATTACACATATAGAGCACAATTTTTTATATCTCTGGTTGCATATAAAGTATATTCACACCAATTCATGTCTTCATACATGTACTTTGGATTAAAGTGATCATCACATTCCACCATCATTTCTAACCTCCCCTTCCCCTCCAGCCCCTCTGCCCTATCTAGAGTTCATCTATTCCTCCCATGTTCCTCTCCCTATCCCACTAAGAATCAGCCTCCTTGTATCAAAGAAAACATTGGGCATTTGGTTATTTGAGATTGCTAACTTCACTTATCATTATCTTCTCTAACTTCATCCATTTACCTGCAAATGCCATGATTTCATTCTCTTTTATTGCTAAGTAAAATTCCATTGTGTATATATAACACATTTTTTTATCCGTTCATCTATTGAAGGGCATCTAGGTTAGTTCCACAGTTTAGCTATTGTGAATTGTGCTGCTATAAATTTTGATGTGGCTGTGTCTCTGTAGTATGGTTTTTATAAGTACTTTTGGTATTGACCAAGGAGATGGATAGTTGGATCAAATGGTGGTTCCATTCCCAATTTTCCAAGAAATCTCCATACTGCTTTCCATATTGGCTGTACCAGTTTGCAGTCCCACCAGCACTGTATGAGTGTACCTTTTGTCCCACATCCTTACCAACACTTATTTTTATTTGTCTTCATAATAGCTGCCATTCTGATTGGAGTGAGATGAAATCTTAGTTTTCCTTTAAAGGTTTTGTAGAACTCGGCTGTGTATCCATCAGGTCCTAGGCTTTCTTGGTTGGTAGGCTTTTGAAGGCATCTTCTATTTCATCACTTGAAATTGATCTGTTTAAATT